TATTGCCACCTCGACTCTCATACATACACGCGCACACGCACGCACGCACGCACACACACACACACACAAACACACACGCGCGCGTGCGCGCACACGCACACGCACACGCACACGCCACACGCACGCAAACGAGTGTGTGTAAGAAGCGTAAATCCGACCGTGCTACCTCCACGTGGTACGCTTTGGGTAACGCAAATGCCGGCGGTTAATAATGAAGATTAAAACCATGTCGGAAACGACTAGACATTGTTCTCTCAAATGTCCAGCAACTTTTCCGAAAGAAAAAAATCGAAAAATTTTTGAAAAATTTTTTTGAAAATTTTTTGAAAAAAATTTGTTTCCCTTAAATTTAAACGATATCTTATGTAAAATTGTGGGAAAAGTAAAAAAATTCTTTTTTTCATTTTGATAATGATTACGGAGTGTTCAGAAGCAATAAACGTGTTCCTTTAATTCTTTTCAAAACTTTGATCATTTGGAACAGAAAAACGGTTCGATGGATCAACTTGTAAATTTACAGAGTTATTGTGGGTACCTTGAGCAGTAAAAATTACGCTCAACATTAGTTGTTTTATCAAAAGTTGTAAATAGGCCATAGATTTTCTAAAAAACCGTAAAGAGTCAGTTTTTTTCAGTTTTTTCAAATTAATGTGGAGGATGAAAAACAATTTTTTCTCTAAAAATCATGGTAGATCCTTGTAGAGAATTTATTTACGTTTTTAAAACCATCCTTTAATTTACTGTACGGTTATTAGTTGCTGAGATATCGATGATCAAAGACAAAAGGATCCTTTTTCATTTAAATTTGGATATCTCAGCGAAAAATCGACGTAAAGAGAACAAAAAAAAGCAAATTAAAGCTGAAGAAATAAGCTAACTGATCAATGCATTGGTTTAACTAAGAAAAATTTTTCCAAGTCCGTGGACCAAAAAAAAGGGAGAAAAAAATTTGCAAAATTTTTGCCTCGCGCTATTTCTTATGATTGCGCGATAACTGTAGCTCACAAAAATGTTTTGCCAAAAGATTCCAAAACTAGAAACTTAAAGCTTCAAAATTCTTTTTTTTTAACCCTTGTGTGCATAACCAACTTTACCCACGTTGTTGCATATCCGGGTACCTGGGTACCCATTGCGCATTTTTTAAATTTTTCTAATATTTATGCAATCGTAACCGTTTCCCTAATGTTTATTTCAATAAATTAACATCAAAAGTAGGTGCTTGAGGTATTTTCGAATCAATGGAGCCGCTGTAGCTCGTACAAAAGAAGAAGACAGCGGGATCCTCGCGGTTACTTTTATCTTAAAGAATCCTAGGTTCTCTCAGTTTTGAAGGCAAACGGTCCAGCCCTCTTAAGTCTAGAAGGACTGAGCAGATGCGCATCAGTCCTCTTCGTCATCTAAAAATCAAACACAAAAATATAATAAAGTTCAGTAAAAGTTATTGTAAAAGTTATTTAAGATACAATAGTTGACAACAATTACATAAAAAGTTACCTATATTATTAGTTTTATCACTATCAGAAGCTGCATTCTCTGGCATATCGTAATCTGGAGGCCAGTCCTCGTCTGACAGCGAAGACGAGGACTGGCTTCCAGATTACGGTATGCCAGAGAATGCAGCTTCTGATAGTGATGAAACTGATAATATAGGTAACTTTTTATGTAATTGTTGTCAACTATTGTATCAAATAAATTTTACAATAACTTTCACTGAACTTCGTTGTATTAAACTTGTATTAAAATTGTTGTGATAAACAATAGTATTTCATTTTTTTCGTAGTGGGTACCCGGGTACCCGGTTGTGACCGCGACGTATGTTTACTTTAGATTCGATTATTATGACTCAAAGAAATTTTTAAACAATCTTCAATACACTATTTGCTTTGAATTGAGTTAAATAACGACGATCCGGGGGTTTATCGCGGAATTTTGATTCTTTATCGAGTTACATAAAAAAAGGACGAGGTGGGTACACGGGTACCCGGTTATGCACACAAGGGTTAACCTCCATACGACCATTTTTCACTGAGATACAGCCTGTCAAAAATCACTAAAAAATTTGGGAAATTTTTTTGTTCCCTTAATTTTTTCCAGTAGTGTATAACAAATATATATGTAAATTGTGAGAAATAAAGGTTCCTTCGTTTTAACTTTAAATAGACTATATCTCCGTGAAATTATCCGTCGCCGCCATCTTACATGCCTCATCCGTGTCAATAGACATTTCATTCCTCTCACCCTTTGTACTCCAACCCCGCAGTATTGCGCTCTGTCCAGATATTTTTTACGTCCATGGTTGCGATATTCTTCGAACATTCTCAGCATCTACATGTGCTGTATGGGGACGTAAATAATCTGTACGGGTGGGCAATGTGTCAGCCGCTGCCTTACGCGAATTTTCAATGGGTCACTAACGTTGCTGATTTTAATGCAAACGCGATCGCTCCGGATGCACTCACGGGGTACATTCTCGAGGTCGATCTCGAGTATCCACAGCATCTTCACGACGCGCACGCTGATCTACCGTTTTGTCCAACGCGTGATAAGCCACCCGGCAAGCGGCAGAACAAACTTCTCGCGACAGTGTATGATAAGAAGCGTTACATCATACACTACCGTAATCTGCAGCAGTGCACGCGTCACGGCTTGCGCGTCACAAAGATACATCGTATATTGGAGTTTTCACAATCTCCATGGCTTCACAAATATATCGAGCTTAATACTCAGTTTAGAACATGCGTGACAAACGATTTCGAAAAAAATTTGTACAAATTAATGAACAACGCGGTATTCGGTAAAACAATGGAAAACGTGCGGAATCACGTTGACGTTAAACTTATAACTAAATGGGACGGTCGCTACGGTGCCGAGGCGATGATCTCCAAACCGAATTTTCATAGTCGCAGCATTTTTTCCGAAAACTTAATTGCCGTGGAGTTGCGAAAACTCGAGGTAAAATTCAACAAGCCGATCTATGTGGGTATGTGCATCCTCGACATATCCAAGATCTGCTTGTATGAATTTCACCATGAATATATGCTACCCCTGTACAGAGGCAAGTGTAAAATTATGTACATCGATACGGACAGTCTCATATACCACGTCGAGTGCGAGGATGTATACGAGACTGTGAAACGCGATATACGCAGATTCGACACGAGCGATTATCCAGATGACAACGCGTACGGTATACCGCATGCAAATAAGAAAGTCCCCAGTCTCATGAAAGATGAGAATAATGGGGCAATTATGACCGAATTCGTCGGACTCAGGGCGAAAATGTATGCTTTGAGAGTATACGGTAAAAGCGACGCGAAAAGGGCGAAGGGGGTTAAAAGCAACGTGGTAGCGCGAACAATAACTTTTGAAGATTACACGCGATGCTTGAGAGACGAGATCGAGATGACTCGTCGCCAGTCGTGCATACGATCGAAGCTACATCAAGTCTACACCGTATCCGAGACCAAAATCGCCCTGAGTTCGCACGATGATAAACGATACATCGTGCCTGACTCAACCGACACTTTGCCATGGGGGCATTACCGGGTACCCTGTAACGTATAAGCGTAATGTATAATATGTAACATGTAATCTAGTATAATGTACTGTATAATATGTAACGTAGTGTAATATAGCGTACTATACCATTGGATGTAATATTAATTTTAAAAAATATCTTGTAAATGTAGGTATATTATTTATTCATACATGTATTTCATACAGCTGTTTGTTGCACACATTTATATATTTTGGATTAAAACATTTTTTTAATAGTCTATATTATCCTAGCTATTTCACGTAAACCTTGTAACCCCCTCCTTTACGCAATACTTTTTCTATGACATACACATCCGGTTAAGTGGTACAATGCGGCTACAGTTAGTAAAATGCCCAAGCATTGTTGGGTCTAGAAGAAAAAAAATGGTAGATGCGGCTACAGTTAGTAAAATGCCCAAACATTGTTGGGTCTAGAAGAAAAAATGGTACGATGCAGTTACCGTTCGTAAAATGCCTAAGCATTGTCGGGTCTAGAAGAAAAAAAATGGAGCGATGCAGTTACCGTTCGTAAAATGCCCAAGCATTGTTGGGTCTAGAAGAAAAAATGGTACGATGCAGTTACCGTTCGTAAAATGCCCAAACATTGTTGGACCTAAAAGAAAAAATATTTGACAAATGTCTCGAACGTTGCATCTTTAATGGGAATCATAAAACTAAAATTTAACATCTAGCAGTTTTCCATCAGAGAATCAGTCTTCAGTAGTTCTTGGAAGATCAGGAGGATGCCAATGAAGAA